TTAAATTGCATCGGTATTTGCCTTTTCTTTTTCTTGTGTTATTATGGAATTGTTATTATTATATTGTGTGAATTGTCCATAAATTTAGTTTTTCTTCTAATCATTTGTGCATGCCATAATGAAATCTTTTTACTTAAACAATAAATTTTGGAATTTTTGATTGTGTTCCTTCCTTTCCAAATTACTTAAAAAAATATTAGCCATCGTTTGAAGACAATGATTAAAAAGTTAACTTAAAATTTTACTTTAAAAAATAAAAAAAAAATTCATTTATTGTAATTTCTAATAATTGAAATAGAGTGACAGGTCATGCACGAACGTTAAAACGTACCCTCTCAAGTCTCTTATTCTAATCCAAAGTTTGTATGATCGTGCAGTAGTTGATTGCCGAGTTTCCAATTTGCATTGACGACGAGAACTTTACTCTTCTATGCATTCTTCTTCCAATCCATCTTTTCAATTCTATGGCTTCCTCTCGCTAAAAGTACGATGTTTTTATTATCTTCAGTGGTAGATATATAGAATAAAAAATAATAGATATAGTATAAGAGTTGGATACAAATAGGATAGAATAAAATTGATTGTACCAAAGTTTGGAACCAAATTGACCGACTGTGGCTAAAGTCAATTATTAGATTTCTTTTCAAAAACTAAATTGAGCGATGGTTCTAATTTCAAGACTAACATGTACAAGTTTTAATCTTTAATATGTCTATCTTAAAAATGGAAATATGGTAATGTAGAAAAAAATGCAGGTTAGTACATATTTCACAGTTTATTTACTTGATTTTCATTTTCATTCCTCATACATTCTTTATCTGTTCATTTGCTAAGAATGAATCTCAAGTAATAGAGAAAATTGTCGAAGATGAACTTAAGGTCCCCTATTGAATTAAAAGTAAAGACCGTGTTGAAATTGACAAAATCTGTTGAAGAAGATAAATTGTTGCTTTCAAAGAAGAAAAAAAATCAGCTACTGGGGTATGAGTGGGATTTGACAAGACAACCATTGTTGAAGTCTTGTTTTATCAACTCTTTTAAAAAAGACTTTGGACAAATATCTTTACGTGATAAGCTTCTATCTGCGCTACTTAAAGATGAACACCGTAGATCTGATGTCACAGAATCCACACTCATTACAAGGAAACTTAGCAATTAAAAAGTTTTGATGTACTTGATGATTTTAGATCAATTAGATGTGTTGTGTAGAGAATGTAGCTATGTAGGTCCAGATAGTAAAATCATTATAACAAATGGAGAGAGGCATTTACTACTGATTACTGCAAATGTTGATGAGATATATGATGTAAAGACGTTGGGCTTTGTTGAATCTCTAAAGCTTTTTAGTTTACATGCCTTCAAGGAGAGACATGAAGGAGAAGAGGTCCTTGAATATTGAACGTTTAGAAGAATGAATATTACTAGCTTTTTAAACAATACAAATCACAAGTATATATATATTTAACGGAACTAATAGAACTAACAACTAACACAACGTAATTAACGACTAACTAATTAAATATATTACTTTTTAACTAACTCTAATGAATACATAATGTTTAATACTTTTTTTAAGATGGATGATAGATATCAAGAATTCTCATCTTGAACATTAAATTTTAAAAACTGAGTAATAGTTACTGATTTTGTTAAGATGTCAACTAATTAGTATTGAGTTTTAACATAAATCAATCGTATCAAATTTGAATTGAACTCTTTTGAATGAAATGATAATTTATCTCTACATATTTAAATCTTTCATGAAATGTAGGATTTGTAGAGAGATGTATGATAGATTGATTATTATAAAATACTAATGTTGAGTTTATAAAAATATCAAAGTCTTTAAATAAGGTAATCATTCAAGTTATTTCACTTGCAACTACTGTCAAGGACTTGTATTCAGCTTTGTTAAGGATCTAGATACTATTGCTTGCCTTTTAGATTTTCAAGATATTAGAAAAGTGTTAAAAAAAAACACAAAAATCTATGATTGATCACCTTGTATCGATGCAGTATTAGCATATCCTTTTATATTATATTCATAATTATGTATATCAAATTTTATATATTTTAAACATTGTAAATATTTTATTCAAAATTTGATATTTACATATATTTTAAAAAAATATTACGCATTGAAATAAAATAATAGGATGAAATACCCAATTATTTTATTTTTGCATAATATTTTATAAATTTAGTCTACCTTATAAAAAAACATTCAAACCAATTATTAGATTTATTAATTTCTCATTTTATGAAATATTATTATATAAGAGATATAAGCATTTAAATTTAACATATATCAATGGATCTTCACTCAAATTTATAATAAATATATAATATTAAATTAATTTCTTTATTATCTGTTTTATTGTAAACCTAAAGTATATGTATAGTAATTTTAAATATTTGTCTTTAATAGCATTATAATTATTTTCTTTTTTTATTTTAAATAAAAAATATTATAATTTATAATATTTAACTTTAATAGTTTAACTATTATGTAGTTCTACCCGATATTTGTTGTGTTGTTAGGTAATGTTTCTATTAATCTATAAAAAAAATTATATTTTATTTAATTAAACTTAAAGTAACATGAAGTGACAAAAAATTAAAATTGTTATTCAATAAATACACAAATATATATATATATATATATATATATATATATATATATACAAGTTAGTAATATAATACCATATCCAAACTTTACGGTCACATCTCTGATCATAATTGCAAATATGAAAAACTTCATAAGTAGAATTTGAGTTACCAAAAAAAAAAGGTAGAGTTTAACACAATACAGTTTAGACAAAGATACAAATATGTATATTATTGTGTTTGAGCAACTGTATAATTAACGTTATTCTTTCCTTATAAATGAATACTGTTGTAGATGATCATAACATTAATTGTTTTTCTTGTGCAATCAATCGCATACACTGTAATATTCATGAAGATTGAGAAACGCATGCTTGCAGGTTTGCTGTGTGTATATGTGTGTGAATTAAAATTAGAATAGAAGAAAGAAAATGTTATATATATGGATTTTTTGAACTACGTAAGTTACTCAATTTGTTCATTCTGAACATAAGAGAAAGAAGTAGATAGTATGCATATCCAAGTAATATCAAGAGATATCATCTTTTCATCTTTCCATGGGCCTTTCAACAATTCTTCTACATATAGATCAACTTTCTGCAAAATGTATAGTGTGCACGGATACATTGTCAATGCTTAAAATAATAAAACACCCATTTAAACTATCCTTATTATAGCTTGTATGGTATCAAAGATTCAAAATTACTGTTTTGCCCTATATTTTTAATTTTTTACCCACTCCCTTACTGATTTGTCTTTATAATTTTTCCACAAAATTTTAGGTAACAAGACAATGAAGCCCACGTGATACCGATCTCGTTTTGATTTACTGAGTTTTATTTACCAATTTACCTTTGTCCTATATACTCCCTTTAGTTTTCCCTTTTGCCGAAAAAACAAATTCTGGTCTACGGTGCCTCCTATATAGTAAAAAGAAGTTATGAATAAGTATTTATACAATCATTGTTTTGAAGTTTATTTTTATAACAGTGAAACTCTCCAACAAAATCTCATAGCAACAAGTTTTTTTTATTTTGTACCCTCGTGGAAATTCTAGATTTAAAGAACAATAGGGATTTATAAGCATTATATATTCCCGTTATTACATATACCCAATAATTGCCTCAAACGGAATTTCTTAAAACTAATAGCAATTTAAAATGACATTTCATTTTTTCTTACCAAAAAGTTTTTTTTTCAGTGATTAATTAATCCATTACCAACTTTAAAAGCATTCTTACGTAAACAGATCATAAACTTTACCCTAAAGAAAACACATGAGTAGGGCGGATGGGACTGGTTTGGTTCAGCTAGCTAAGGTTGCTTCACCGGGGCTGATGTCTATCCTTCTCTGATCATAATATGTAAATGGGTTGAAATAATCGTTATACTTGAATTCAATTTATTTGCTTATAAATAAAAACATATACCCTGAAGAGTCTGAAACCTAAATAGAAAACTTGACACAGATGATTGGAGGGTGAGTAGGATGGATTATAATGCGTATATGGGCTATGAATGTCTGTATTCTTAGCCTTCCTTATTATATGAATTTTTAAATCGGAAAATTGAAATTCTTGAGGTACTTTAATCTACCCTGATAAATTCAACCCTAGTCAATGACAGCCGAAGCATGTACAATATGATTCTTATACTAAATTACAATGTTTGACAAGAAAGCAGCTGGGACAATATCTTATCAACGAATAAAAATCTTGAGAGAAACATTAATCAGTATGAATAAATCATGATTTCGAAGGATAATAAATGAAAAAACAAGAATGACATGCCTCATTGCAGACTTCAAAGCTAACAGCATGTATATTTGAAAGTTATCGCCTTCTATATATTGCATTTATGCGTGAAAAGAAACAAAGGAAGGCGAGACAAGTGCAAGATCATAAATTGCATATAACACTGTTAATTGTGTCTTATAATAAGAATCCAGAAACATATATATATATATACGAAATACAAGCAAAAGAAGGAAAACCTAGGTTATAATTACTGCTCCAACTATATATTCACATATTCAACTTCTAAATATGCTTGTGCATACACGAAGGTTAAGCATAAAGCTGGCATTTTCTTTACTCCGATTTCTTACACACACTCAGAGTAATTAAACTAGAATAATAAAATTTATGTACATCAGCGTTAGTTCTGATACTTCATACACCTTTATTTCTGGGCATCCAACCTGTTATGTGGACAATCTGTGGTCAGCTTTCAATTTTTATACATGTCTTAAGAAAAGAACCTTGCCCTAAATATTCATCTGAGAATTCGATATGCGCTTCAAGTAATTTTCTCAATTTTATGTATAAAGAACCATCTAAATAATCACATGAAAAGAAATGAATACATTACCTTAAAAATATGAAATACCCATTTTAATATGGATCATACCCAAGTCTGAGCTCCAAGTCCACTTCACTATCTTTCTGATTTCCTCTCCTAACTTGATGAATATCATCAACATGACTTGGACCAATTTGGAGACTCAAATTGGCACCCCGAAGCTCTTGGTTCAAACTCATAGGCCGAGACCTTGGGTTATAAAACTCATATTGAAAGGTATGCGAAGGTGGCGGGGGATGAAAATACACGTCACAGTTCCTCTGAGACTCCAAAATGGAATAAAGCCTTGTGGGTTGGTTTGGAATTTCAGAAGCAAAAGGAAAGGTCATGGATTCATCATTGTTGAATTTGTTTATTAATGGGAGTGAAGAGTTTGGAACAACTTGTTTGGCTTTGGCTCTGTCTCTCCTATGGATATTCATATGACCCCCTAAAGCCTGAGCGTTTGTGAAGCCTCGCTTGCAGAATGTGCACTCATAAGAGCGTTTGGTTCCTTCATTGTCATATTGTGCTTCTTCTTGTTGATCCGTTTCTTCACTTAAAATCTCAGAACTGAGTGGCTTTTCTGAATTCATAGCGAATTAATTAAGAGTAAGCAGTCTCTCTCAGAAACAAATAAAATCAATTAGCGATCTCTCAGTTTATACGTTGATAAAGAGATGTGCAAGATGGAAGGGCTTTATATTGAGCAAAGAATATGTAAGAAAGGTGTCAAATAGGAACAAGAAGAAAATGCTGGGTAAGTCTATGTGGCACAGTAGCGGTTTTCTATCAAGAGAGAGTGTCATTTTGGCGTTTTCTCATGGTATTTTCCATTTAGCCGGCTCTATGATGGGTCTAAACCTTGGGTATATTTTTATTACTTCCACCTCTCTCTCATCCATTTGATTTTATTACAGTTTCTGCTCATGTTGCTTTCATGACGTGGTGGTGGTTTTCTTTTGGCATCTCTTGTAATTTCTTTGCCGCGTCAATGTGACTGATTCTCGTGTACTCACAACAATTAATGGCAATATTAAGCATAATATTGTGGAGAAATGGAGCATTTTTTAGTGTTTTCACACTTTATTCTCGTGTCCTAGCTGTCAATTAACTTGCTATATTTGACTATATAATGGCAAATAGAATGCGCAAGAGATGGTACAAAATATGGTATACTTTTTCCTTGTTTAACAAATGGCACGATTTTCACATCACCCCAAGTAAAAAAATATAAAGATTTACTGTTATGCATGATCCCATACACATGCTTTACGGCGTAATTCTGCAAACAAGAGATATTCCTCAAATATAAATATTCGCCTCTTACATGTGAAATCAGATTATAGCAAATGAAAGAAGCTCCGATGATATGATACGCAATGTGAACATGTAAACAGAAAACGCGTTGCATCTCCAAATGTCTTTATCATATTCCTAATAGAAATTAATATTCTCGATATGCTGAATTTAGGTTAGCGCTAGTAATTCACTTGCTTTTAACTGGCTTCCTAGCCTTTCTTCAAAAGGAAGAGACATGTGAACTATTAGCATCATCCATCTAGTGTAGTAGGGTGTACCCTAATTTGATCCCAAGCCAATTATATTTGCATTATACGATGGTGCATATATACTCAATTTATTATGTCACTAATTTTCATTCATTCAAACTGAATAACTCCAACTAAACAGATGAGTGTAACGTATATGTATCAAATTAATGACCAAAAGGAGGGGAATGGAGCCAGTTTAAAAGGAATAATGTTGAGGATAACCTATAGGTTATTTTAAAGAGAAATAAATCTCTACATGAACAAATGTCTCCTTGTATAACAAATCCTTAGCTGGTGCGTGATGATCTTAATTACAGACGGCAAAAGCGAGTTAATAATCAATTTTGGTGGTTTCTTATAATATTTTTGGTTGATACGTCTTAATTTGAAACGATCACTGCTTTATTAGCTTCCTCGTAGAAACTAATTAACTAAATCGCTATTATACCAAGTTTTAATTAATTAGTGACGCTATCCTAGATATGATAAAGACTAACCATTAAATTCTGACGAGAATAATAATCATAATTGGGTGATGGGATGAAAAAGGGGGTTTGTCACTGACAACAACATGAGTGCTGAACTACAGCTTGCATTGCGCATTATATTTCACTCTAATATATATGTCTTGTTGAGATTGTCTTGGACCAAGTTATCCTCAATGCTTGTATGCCTGCATTTCCGAAGAAATGGTCATAAATTCAAAATAGATCGTACGTGTCTAATCCAATCGTTTCAAATTAACCCTGAACACGGGTTAAGGAATACAAAAATTAATTAATCGGCATAGGTTGGCTTTACGTTTTATACAATATCAGTTATAATGCGATCCGTAAGACATTTATAGACACAATTAACCCTACCATTATATACTGTATATGATTCCTGCAGTCAATTTTCTGCCATCAATCTCTATCTTTCATTTTATTTTTAAAATTTAAAAAAGTTAATTATATATTAAAAGAAACATAGATAAGTCATTGGATGATATGAATGTAAGAAAAATGGCTGCAGAGGAACCTAGTCCCTCTTCCTCACCTCACGCACATCATGGAACAGTTATGATTCTGTGTGATTAAAAACTTTTAGTCAGCGTCGGAGTATAATTCACTCTTATATTTTAAATTAAATTCTTACTCTTAAGAATAAGAAGTTTTATTTTAAAAGAATATATTATCCTTTTAAGTGAAACACGTGACTTTTTAATATTAAATTTTCATTTTTTTTAGAATTTAATTAAAATGCATGAACATTTAATCATGCATAAATTGTCATATGATAATTATTTTAAAATATATTTGTTTCATCTTTCACTTAATTAATATTATAAATTTTTATACTAATCATACATTAAAATAAAGTCTTATGTTTATATATTTTTGTTTACTTCAAATGATATTAGTTAACTTTAATATTGTTGTATAGTATAGTAGGTTCTCAAGTAATAGAGTGAAATACGAGTTACTTGTACCTATAAAGAATAATTTAAATATTAATTTTAATTAATTAAATAATAAGTTTAATAATTAAAAAATATAACTTTTAAAGAAATAAAGACTAAAGTGTTAAAATAATTTAAAAGTAATATAAAAATTGATTGAATTAAAGGTTAAGATGATTTACTTCAACTATGTGTTAATAAAATACAATATAAATATTAATATGCCTTGTCCAAATTTAAATAAGTGATAGTAGAGATATTATATCATTAAAGTTTTGTCCAAATTTAAATAAGTGATAGTAGAGTTATTATATCATTAAAGTTTTTATCAAAATCATCTAATGTCATATAAATAAAGTCAAGTACCTAAGGTCTTAACATACTTTATCTTAGAAATAATTTTCAAATCTTTTAAATACTACATGAATCATGTTTACCTATCTTTATATGTTATTCAACTCATAGTAAAGCATTCATAGGCATGATTCTTTCTCTTTCTCTCAAATTTGTAAAAATTCCTATAATCCTAAATTGATAATCAAGCAATTCAAGATAATTAAATTTAAATATAATGCTTACCATCAAATATGAATAAACTATTAATCCATTCACATTAACATAACATCGAACATATGGTCTTCATAATTTGCCCTAAATAAATAGTTTAGTTACAAGTCATAAAAAAATAACTTAAAATGAATAACAATGAAAGAAAAACAAAAAAAATCCATGAATAAGAAGAAGTACACAAAGAAACGAAGAATTAATCCTTAAAAGAAGTCTTGTATTTCAGCTCCAAACTTTTCTTGTCCTAATTTTTGTATTTTGCTCTCTTTTGAATACTCCTCACGTTTCCAAGAGTTTTGTACCAAATATGAGCTATCTAAATTAGTATAGAGGTTCGACCCAAACATCCTATTTAAACATTAACGCTATAGCATAACTATATGATTATGTTATAGTATACTACACTAATAACTTTTTTTTTTATACCAAAAACTACAAAACTCACATAAAACACAATTAAAATATAAAATAAAATGTACGTAAAATTAATCAAGATTGTAAACCAAAATATATAAAGAGAGCAATTAAGAAAACTAAAATTAATTGACAAACTAAAAGTTCTAAAAAAAATTAAAAATATATATAACTCCAAAAAGAGTTGTCAAATATATTATAATTTGATTTTGAATTTTAAAACAAAGATGGTATAAGAATCAAAATTTAATATCATATATTTTTAAAATTTTATAATAATTTTTTATATTGTTTCATCTAATATAATAAAAAAATTCTATTTATATTTTATTCTTCCTTTTAATATATTATTTCACCATTATCAACAATAATGCTGGTGATAAATTTTTATCTTTTACTTTTTAGTTTTATATAAATTTCAATATATTTTTATAATGTATGCCATAATAATGATCTAAGGAATTTTTAGCTTTAATGTAAAGATTTAAATATATTAAAATATCAAAATGAAGTCATATTTATTAAAAAATATTTATTAATATATAAAAATTGTGAAATATTAAGATGATTTTTGTTAGTATACTTTTTGTTTGATAAAAAAAAAAATTACTAGTATTGTCTTTAAAAAGACTTATTCTAACAAATAACACATTATTCTAACATTTAATGTATTCAAAGTGTATATTAATAATTTTATTAATAAAATTATTTGTTAGTATAATATTATTAATACAAACTCATAATTATAGGTTGACAATTTAATTTTTGTAAAAAAATTATTAATAATAGTTAATTCAGCATTAAATTATTCATAAATGATATTTTTTTAGCTTTTTTATTTTAATATTGTAAATTAAAAAATAAATCTTGCCAAAACGATTGGCAAAACATATTAATTTTTAAATTTTTTTATTTCGTGAATCACCACTAAAAGTGCGAAATAATAAAGATGAAACCACATGTCATACAACAAATTATTTTGCTATTTGACTGGCAAAATATTGACCTAATTTTACCACCAACAGAGCGAAAATAATAGGAAAGTGACACGTGGCGAAAGAATTATATAGTTTTGCAATAGGAATCGCAAAAGTCACTACGGAATAAATAAAAAATAAAAAATATTCAAAATGAATCGTTGGAGATTTTTGAGGACACGTGGCAACATCCTAGTTATTTCGCCACTGTCCTGGCGAAAAGTTGTTTTGCCACACCTTTGGCGAAACCATTGAAGTAGTGACACGTGTCCGACCACACAGTAACTGTCTCCTACCCTTCTTCTTCCTTTTCTTCTGCATTCCGATTTTCATTTCGGGTTCTTCCTCCGTCATGCTGCATTTTTTTCAAAATCACTCCAAATATTTTGTTTGTTATTTGTAATTTTTGGCCTCAAAATTTTCAAATTTTACACGTGTTAAAGTATAATTTATATATTGAAATGTTATTTTTAAATTGATTGTTATTAAAAAAAATCTGACAAATGATAAAAAATTTATTTTAATTTTTTTTCAAATTAATGCAAATGATTATGTAGTCAGTGAGTAGTAAAATATTTGGCCTGAGGTTTATTAAGGTTAATAAATTTTTTTTATAATTTTAAATATTTTTATATTAATTTGTA